GTCAATATAATACTACTTACAATATTATTGTTACTTCGACCACAACCTCGCTTCCGAGGAAGAAATCGTTATGTTCAGGGGCGGATACAGCTTTTTGAGAAAGGGGAGGGGTGCACACAATTGAGAAAGGAGGGGTGCACACTTCATTTTCACGAGAGTTTCAATGGTCATTTAATAAACTTTCAGGACAAAAGGGGGGGTGCGCACCCCTGCACCCCCCTCTGGATCCGCCTATGATGTTACAACTTGTGTCATGGAAAATCTTTATGGTCATCAATCATATACATATTTTACTACAACTAGTAAGTAGTTTTGATTCTTTAACTTCCGTAAAGCGAACTGAACACAAGTAATATATCGTTTCAGGCTTTCACAACGCTCGCTTCGCACTCACAAACATAACCCATTTAGCACGAACTGCGGGGTCATGTGGAAATCTGTAGATGGTGACACCATCGCCCGACCCCAAGGAGCAATTGACGACAACCCAACGATTCGGCATGTCGTCGTTGATGTCGATAAATCATCAAAATGACGAGCTTGCTACACACTTTATATACCACTAACTGAAAATCCTTCCTCATGGCTCTGGCGACAGAGTTACATAACCTGTCTGTGGTTTCGTTGGCGGGCGAGAGTGAAGCAGGCGACGTTTTGGCAACTATTAATCGCTCGGTATTAATTAGCCACAAGTTTTTTAAGAATGAATTTGGTGTTCCGCATTTATAAGACTAACCACGAATCGTTCATATGTAATGGTTAAAAGAGTACAAAAAAAACAGTTTATTTGTTCTTTAAATATTCACGTGCAAATGAAAGGCCTCAAAATGCAGCATAATTTTTCAAATATTGTTGACTTTCCAGGTGGGTTTGATAATGCTAAACGTCGTATGTGTGCCGTGTGTGTCCCTGGGGCGCACTAATAGTACAAATAGTACTAATGTTAAGCCACAGCCCGTGTAATGATGTCTTTCCTATTTAGTTATTTACATTGCGGAAATATTAAGGAATTAACATCTACCGCTTCACCGCGTAAGCATTTGATAATGATATATACTGGGGAACATATATAAGGGACCACACGGAAGTAAAAGTGTTCATTTATCCTTGTCCAGGTTTCTTCGCAAGCTTTGTATTGGTGTACTGTGGGTTTTTGTTCAAACTTGCCTCTGTTCATCCAGCAGAAAATGGGTACCCGGTGGGATAAGTCATGTGACAATTAACCTTTTAGCGCCTCACAGGCAGCTTGGGTTCTCCGGGGTAATAATAATCAGATTGTGGCGCTTTGAGCGTGCCCCGCCGAATTGCGGAATTCAGCGCATTACAAATGCCATTATTATTATACTGCAGAAAGAACTGAAGCCAATATTTAAGAGACCGCTTAACTGAACATTAAATACATAAACAAAGAAGTCCGTATTTTCTGGCCTTGGTCCAAGGCTGTAGTGAGGTGAGGTGAAATTGGGTTAAACGTCGTGCTTGAGAATATTTCGCTCATATAACGACGTGCATGCGTGTGTATGTGTATGTGCGGCTGCTTGTACTAGCCCAGACTTAAGCTGGTTTTATAGTGCTAGCCCACTGAGATACCATGCCGCAGTGAAGCATGAATACCCCACTCAGACACATCATACTGACTCCGAGCCGACCAGTCCTTGTCGTACCCATTAATGCCGAGCGCCAGACAGGGACCAACAAGTACCATATTTTAACGTATGACGTGGTCCGGGATCGAACCCGCGACCTTCCGCTCTCCGGGCGGATGCTCTAACCACTACACCACGGAGGCGGTCTCCAAGGCTGTAGTGAATGCTAAGCCCATCGATGTACATTGTATAGTAATTCTATACTTGGCCCATCTATGCGGACAGTTCATTGGGGACACTAGTATGTTAGAGGAGTAAGTCACATGGCTATCAAAGTCCAGAAAACCTGGTGACAGGGGCATGTAATGTTATGAGTGAGTGAGTGAGTTTAGTTTTACGCCGCAACCAGCAATATTCCAGCTATATGGCGGCGGTCTGTAAATAATCAGGTCTGGACCAGACAATCCAGTGATCAACAACATGAGCATCGACCTACACAATTGGGATACGATGACGTGTCAACCAAGTCAGCCAGCCTGACTACCCAATCTCGTTAGTCGCTTCTTACGACAAGCATGGGTTACTGAAGATCGATTCTAACCCGGATGTTCACGGATTGCAATGTTATGCAGTTTCTCAGTTGGTTATTCAGTGTCGCAACACGGTTTTTTAACCGGCAACAGCAGAAGCAGTGGTGGTGACAGAAAACAGTTTTCTACTCAAATCACACAGAAAAGGTTTGCCGTGTTGGAACCGTAAGAGTTGTCCTATTAATACATATATTTGCAGCGGTGACAGACAATGATTTCTTTTTATTTATATATTTTTTTAATTTATAATTTAAACTATTAATTATTACCTTAGAAACTTGTGTAATTCTAGCATTTTCCCTGGCTAAGAGATCAGGACATGGACAAAGCGGAGCAGCAATGTTGTGACCTTTCAAATACATTCAAATGTCTTGTTCGTGCTTGTCCGCGTCCCGAGAGAAATGGATGTCTGTCCTCATGGCTTATCATCGTGGAGTGGTACATGACACCTAATGTGAAAATTAATCACGTCCACCATCAGGCAGTGGTTGTCTACTCTGCAGCAATAACTTGGTACATATCACCCTCGTTCATCCCGGCTCAGTTCTCTTTCGTCCATACCTAGGCTTACTTGTTCCCAAATCTCGAATACGTAAACTAGGTCAAGGCACTTCGCGAGACCTTAGTACTTCCGGTGCAAAACAACGTTTCATACTTTTTTGAATGGTCTCATGGTTGTCAGTTGACAGTAAGGAACCGATAATCCTTGCAGGAATAACACATTTCCGATCTAACCATCCGCGGATAATCCAACTATTAGGACTGTGAACAACTATGACACCCATGTATGGTTGTACACTTGGTCCGGTCAAGTAAAGTCATATTTGGTGATCGCGCAATTTGGAACAAGAACTGGTTCTTGAATATACGCTTCTCACCCGAAATCTGGTACCGTAAGTAAGCTTGGCCCCGTTCGCATATAGCAAGTTGGCGCGCGCAAAGGGAGACGGGAACCAGCTTAGTACCGGAAGTAGCGCCCACGAGACTCACAGGCCCTATAAGTTCCCAAATCTCGAATACGTGAACCTTAAATGAGCTGTCTAATTATTTGAAAAGCTCGCTATATGCCAATTTTCTGAGATGAGATGCCCTCTGAAGCGAAACTTTGCAAACCAGACATTAATTTTGTTTGTAAGCCATTTTTGTAAGCCATGATTCCCTGCTTCACGAAGCTATGGTAGAGAATGAGTCGAGACTATTTCTATTGAAGGTATGAAACTGCTGGTGGATATGGATAAGATTCCGATGTTGCCAATTTCGGTACATTTACCCCAAACGCCATTTATCGTACACAAAGACCACACGATTTAGGGAGTTCACATTTAACATCGTATCTGCATAATTCAATCATACAGCGACTACTTTTGGTGAACACGGTGAATACTTCTCAGACTGGGGATTCGAACAGGAATTTGGGCATGACGACCGAACGCTTCTTCCTCTTTGGTTGATAAATATACGCCAGAGTATAGTCTCGATAATCCGATGAAACCGATTAAAATAGCTGTGACAATTTTTATGAATGGATCACTGAAAATAACTATCCACCCCGTTGTATACATGATGTGCGCTCAGCTGGCATAAAAAAACGAGTGAGTGAGTTTACTTTTACGCCGCTTGTAGCAATATTCCAGCAATATCAAGGCGAGGGACACCAGAAATGGGCTTCACACATTGTACCCATGTGGGGGATCGATCCCGGGTCTTCGGCATGACGAGCGAAGGCTTTAACCACTAGGCTACCCCACCGCCCCTGCACCTAAACAATTACTTCAACTCAACGTCTCAAAACAAAAACTACCTTCGGGCGACACCGCCTCCATTGCCACTAGGTATATGTCCGGTACAAATATCCTGTTTTCAAAATGAAGATTTGGTTGCTGGAACCCAAGTAATGCTAAAGGGGTCGTTGTCGGCACAGATACTGTACCACAGGTACGTTTTTGTACAAAGAAATGTACCCTAAACAAAGTCAAAATACAGAAACGTACCCGATACCCTAAACGGCGGACGAGTCCATATTCCGCAACCCAAAACCGAAACCGTATATGTTATTGTTGTTCCCGTTCAGCTGATTGCGAGAGGTATTGTGCACCGCGAAATATTCGTTACTGTGTATGGTCGTTTCTTTTATAACTCAATCAAATGCATACAACCGTATGACAGATCCGATCAAGAAAACACACAGTGCTGAATGCAATAGTCCCAGGGTACGTTTTCGTAATCTGAACAGCGTCCAAACAGAGAACACATGTCATATATGGAATGTAAACATCAAAACATTGCTCCATACATCAAAAACTGTCGCACGCGGTTTTGTCGGTGTTTGCCGACCTGGTTTCAATCACCATAGTTGCGTTATAAATAGGGTATCGGTAAAGAGCGTTCCAAGGGACATAACTATATGGGGTTCGCTTGAAATCATGTTCGGGCGCGAGAGTCGATTTAATGCAACGTTGCATTCATTAATTCGAACTTTTAATCTAAATACGTATTTTGTTTAAAAAATAAATTATATGATAGCTTCCCTAAGGGCTGATAGTATGATTGAGAGAAATGCATTATGTATTTTAAGAGAAGTGTGTAGTGAAATAGTGCCTTTAATATAATGATTACAAGTCCCCTGATAATATATATAAACATCAATTTTGCAAGTTTTTGTTATATTGCAAACAAACTGAGGAACAAACATGGCGCATCCATTACACTATTCGCCGTCTGCACGTGTGGGGGTCTCAGTGACGGAAGTAATCACCGGAACATGGGAAGGTCACCCTCTGTCTAACTGACCATACGCAGATTTCAGCTACAACCCGGATGTCCCCAACAATACCAGGAAGCCTCGTTCGAAGCGCAGTACGCAACATATAGAGAGACAGTCGGAAACTGTTCATCAGTTGAACAGGGAATTAAAATCGTAAAGTTTTAACTTTTGACAAAGCTGCAAACTGACTTCACCATGGCGATTGAAACGCTGAATTCTGCAAAGGTGAAACTTGCCTTGCTGTGCTGTGCTGTTGGATTTGTGATTCAGGTTATAGCATTTGCTTCCCCCTACTGGTTCACCGGCTACAACATCCATGGCGGTTTGTGGCTTGTGTGTGGAGCTGGGACGTGTGTCGCCGCCCCCGACGGCTTGCCCAGTGAGTCTATTTCGTTTGATTTGTTTGTTTGTTGTCTGTAAATAATCGAAATTGGGCGAGACTATCCAGTGATCAACAGCATCAGCATCGATTTATATACATTGTAATTGGGTGAGTGAGTTTGGTTTTACGCAGCTTTTAGCAATATTCCAGCAATATCACAGAAGGGGGCACCGGAAATAGGGCTTCACATATTGTACCCATTCGGGGAATCGAATCCGGGTCTTCAGCGTACGCTTTACCATTAGGATACACCACCGCCCCTCTACATAGAGGGATACGATGACGTGTCAACCAAGTCAGCGAGCCTGACCAAACGAATCCGTTCGTCCCCTCTCAGTAGTCTTACGACATGCAGGGGCTACTGCAGTCTAAGTAAACTTAGGCTCAGTATTATTCGTTACACTGCTATACTGAGTCTAACAAAACCTTGAGGCTTGTAGAAGGTCGCGTCAGCTAACCTTTTGGACTGACCAATCAGAACACAGCTTACCAAATCGCGAAAGTTAACATTCTCACATACCGTTTGAACCTTTACCTCAAAAACTCGAACGATTCCGAATGCTTTTTTCCGCACGATCGTTTCCGAGTGATACACGCAATGAGTAGACAGTCGCTGAAAATAGCGTTTTTGTCAATATTCAAGGATTTCATCTTTCGAAAATATAAGCAAATAGTAACCATGTCATTAGAAACCCCTAAGCGTATATACTGCAGGCCAAATATCTGTGTTTTATGCGGATTTTCGTTTGTTGATAGATCAGTGTCAGCGACCAGGGAAGGGAAAATCCAAAAACCGTTTTGTAAGTCCCGCTGAACCCTAACAAGTAGTCGTTGTCTGATTGGTTAAATCTGTTCGGCCGTCTCGCGTTTGATTGGACGGTCATAGGTCGCTCAAAAGTTAACTCCCATTTGACAGACACCCATTTGACAGACACTGAACTAGAAGGTTAATTAGGGTAACACCTATGGGTATAATGGAACAGTCCACTGTCTAGTGAGTAGAGCAGGGTGAGCCTTAGTCTGTCTCACAGTCCCTGAACCACATTAATTTCCCTACTGCCAAGCCCTCTCTGCAGTGCTAAAACCCTAAATAAAGCAAGTCTAGGTTTCCTCAGGTTCCCCGATCTCTGGTCTCACTAGGGCTCCTTTTCAATATAAATGGGCTTGTTTGTTACTATCAAAATTATATATATTCAGAGACTAAGCCTTAGTCTAGGTGAGCCTGAAACAGGTTCGTTACTGAGAAGTTTGATTGTGGGTAAACAGAGATTTGTTGTGATTAAATGATAAATGATTTCTTTTCTCAAAATTGATTTTACTATCAATTACTAGCGAATATAAAAACAGGTTTGTTACTTAGAGGTTTGATTGTGTTTATTGATAGAAAAGACCCCTCCCAATAATAGCATATGTACAACAGAAGTTAACTGAGAAAACGTTTTGTTGGAGAGATATAGATATGTACATATTTGGAAACATTCTGATTTGCAGTAAATGAGACACCCGCATTGCCATGTAAGATACGATTAATACCTATCAGTGTTCTAATTTCAACAATACTTTCTAAAGATTGTAACAGTTTATGTCTTTGAGTAGTATACAATGGACATTCAAGGAAGTAATGAAAAGAATTCTCACATCCATGGCCACATTGACATGATGCGTCATATTTTAAATATTTATTCTAAATAAATCGTAATTAGGTGCACTCGTCATATGTCTTGATATTGTGTTTTTATTTGGACTATTCCATTGTAATGAGTAGGTAATAGGTAGTAGATAATCTGTTCACTGAACCGTAAATGTTGTTGTTTTAAGGTGTCTGCGAACTGGCTGTCTGCGTAATGGGAGGACACCCTCGCGACCTTCTACTGGGTTTTGTTAGACACAGTATAGCAGTGTAACGAATAATACTGAGCCTAAGTTTACTTAGACTGGGGCTACTGAAGACACAATTTTACTCGGATATTCACAGGTTATGTCGTTTGAAGACACGAAACCGTTATGGATAAAACTTCTTTGTTTGCAACAACAATTTGAGTGTTGTAGATACCCGACGAGGGTGCAACTCGCAAGTAGCCATAAAGGTTGTTACAAACAAATGGAACTTTTTAGCCATACGTGTCATGTCCTCGTGTTTTCTAAACGCCTGTAAAAGATTTAGTATTTAACAATGTCCAAAAAACATTTCCATTTGCCATGGAAACCGATTCCTGAGAACCATTGTCTCATGCAATATTTAATTGATCAGGTTCAATTACCATTAGCCATAGTGTAAGTCCAAATGACTTCATTCCCTTATTAGACATCAAAATGGGATGTCAGTATTACTATACTCATGCCAATAATGGTTGTCACCCCCCCATCCCAAACCCAACCCCACCCACACCCACACCCCCTCTCCAATAAAAAAAATTGAAGGGGTGACAACCATTATTGGCATGAGTACGTTATATAATCTTATTGTGCACTTCATGTTTGAAATCCAAAATGTTACTCCAGATATATTTTTTTAACCTTCAAGTTTTAAGAGATATCTTACAAATGGAAACTATTGAACATGGGGTTGGGGGAATACCAAATTTTCATCCCAACTGAGACTTTTTCTAATCTCATCGGTTTGATAACCTTTTACTAACTTATACTGTTTTATCTGCACTGATACAGTGTGACGTTTGGGAAGAAATGGTACAAAGATTGTTTTCATACCACGTCAAGTTATAAAGCTCAAACACTTACTGGACGGTGGGGTAGCCAAGTAGTTATAGCGTTATCTCGTCACCGGGGTTCGATCCCCGCATGGGTACAATGTGTGAAGCCAATTTCCGGTGTGATAATGCTGGAATATTGCTAAAAGCGGCGTAAAACCAAACTCACTCACTCACTCACTCACTCACTCAAACATTTACTCAAACATTTACTCAAACGACCACAGTGGTGTCAACCATTTTAAATATTGTTTTCCCTATCAGTTTCTATAACGCACGCTGGAGGGAATGATCTCACGTAAACAGATGTATTTACCATACTACCATCAGTGAGTGAAATGACAAAGCAAACGGAAGTTCGGCATGATATGATTGTGTTAACATCAAGCAGGAAAAGTGTGGTAGACTCAATGTAAACAACAGTTCAGAAGTTGTATATCCATAGAACACACCTCGTTGTTCAACATTTCCTTATCGAAAAAGATTTTTCCATAACAAGTCAATTCTAAATGTCATTACATACATGATGTTGTTTTGTTTGTTTTTATCAAAGAATTTTTTAAAATATTGCGCAATTTCCAATCAAATGGCTGAATAACAATTATTCTTAATTCTCTTGATTGTATCATAAATATCGTTATTTGGAATTTTAGTTTCCAAAACACTGCATGTTCTGTCAAAAAGAAATCCCATTGCATATGTACAGATGCTTACACGTAAGATTCCATTTTAACCAATGGACTTCCCCACAATATAACCGCTAGTTTCTCTACATCATATAGAGGGGCGGTGGGCTAGCCTAGTGGTTAAAGCGTTCGCTCGTCACGCCGAAGATCCGGGTTCGACCCGGCACCGCTTTGAATAGTAGTAAGTTATAGCACTATGTGAAATTTCTAAAAGAATATATGTGGTAGATGTTTGCAACTTTGGTGAAACCCATGTCAGAAGCATAATCTCGAATTCAGAACCACATCATTACATACAGGCTTCAACCAAAGAATGTCGTAAGAGGCGATTAACGGGACCGGATGGCCAGACTCGCTGACTTGGTAGATACATGTCATCGTATCCCATTTGCGTAACACGATGCTTAACTGTTGATCACAGGGTTGTCTGGTCCTGACTCGATTATTTACAGACCGCCCGCTTCGAATAGCTGGAATATTGCTGGGTGCGGGGTTAAAAACCCCAAAACAAAAAAACGAGTTCCAGCCTCTATTATTTACAGATTTTCTCTTGTTTTGTTGGGTCGGTAGTAGTCTAATGGTTACAGCGTCTGCTCGTCACGCTGAAGACCCGGGTTCGATTCCCCACATGGGTACATTGTGTGAATCCCATTTCTGAGGGGCGGTGGGGGTAGCCTAGTGGTTAAAGCGTTCGCTCGTCACGCCGAAGGCCCGGGTTCGATTCCCCATATGGGTACAATGTGTGTAGTCCATGTCTGGTGTTCTCCGCCGTGATATTGCTGGAATATTGCTAGAAGCGCGTAAAACCATACTCATTCATTGTAATATTTATATCACTAACGCCCTTCCTATTTCTCTGCCGCAGGTGTATTCCACTGGGTGCAGGCTTTAGAGGCTATTGCGTTTATATTCAGTGTTCTGGGAATTGGTGTAGTAGCCTGGTTCCTCTTCAACCCTTCCCCTTTCAAGATGAGACTTTGTCAGTCCTTCTTTATCACAGCAGGTAAGTCACATATCAAAGAATTGTTTCGATTGACAATGCTTCTGGGAAGAGGCAACTTGGACTCGCTACTCGGTGACTTGTTGGATGGCGTGCAATTGTACCCCCAAGCCATAGACCGTCGTTTACAATTCATTATATATCTGGAGTAGTAGTAGGAGTAGTAGCAACAGTAGTAGTAGCCGTGTTAGTAGTAGTAGTGGCAGCAGCAGCAGCAGCAGTAGTAGTAGTAGTAGTAGTAGTAGTAGTAGTAGTAGTTATATCCCTGTATAACTACTGGTTTAGCAGGGTCCGGAATGACGGTGTTTCATTGTGTACATGTTCTGAGGATTCTTAGGCATTGCAGTCAAGGTATACCAACATACTTGCCAGTCCAGTTTACTGTCTGGTACATACATCACTCAATGAGTAAATAGAAATATCTTGTTTTCATTTCAATGTTATTGTTTTTTCAAGCAATTTTAGTTTGCAGTTATGTTAAATCATATAGATCTTATTTCACTTTTAGTAAGAGAAGAATTTAATCAAATAATAAAGATGTTTTTCATTTTGTTTCCCAATGCTGACCGACCAAGAAAATCCATCACAGAAATTAATTAGGATATTATCTATATAAATATAGGTATTGAAATAGCCAATACTAACAATACAAGTGAGTATACACAAAAAAAGTGGCTCTTTTGAAGATGGAATTAAGAAGAAATTGATATGGATAGGATTTGTTGTGGCATTAATTTTCAAGGTATGATAAATTTCATATAAACTGCTGAATCTTTAATAATGTTTTATTCAGGTGCCCTAACAATAATCGGGGCGGTGACATTCCTCGCCAAGATCCTCGACGACAAAGCATGGGCAGTCTACATTGAGTTTCCCGCAGGCGTCGGACTCCTGTTAGCAGGATTGTTCTCTTGGTCGGAGTACAGGAGGCTTCACAGTGCCAGTGAATACCTACCTGTCCTAGGCTCCAATAACAAATGAACATGAAATACAGTCAACTCTCGTTAATCCGACACTTGTGGTTGCAGACAAATATGTCGGATTAACGAAAATGTCGGATTAATGAAAATGTCGGATTAATGTATTTGTGTGAAAATATCAATGTTTACTAAATGTCATGATCGTCATACTTTTGCATGCATATCAGAAATGGTAGATCTAGTTATCTTCATCGTATGTAAAAATATTCACAGAAATAAAAAATACTAACAATACATACTTGTCTTCATTTATTAACATTCATAGATGGCATAACATACATATATAATCACATAAGCGAGTAGTAACTTGTCTCCTTACGTATCCGGACACTAATCGTGTAAGTAGCAAGCATTAAAATACTCACAAATGCTAAATTCCAAACACGGTGACCCGTTAGATAAGGTGTCCGGAATAACGAGGTTTAATTGTTTATTCAAGCCATTACACTGTGTACTATATTGTCTAATATTGGGTGTTAATAGAGGATTTGCTTCATCGTTAAAGTTTCTGTGATGAGATGAACTCACCGAGGGCCCTCTGAATTTGAAATATGACCCCGTCATTTATCCATCGTGGAATCTTAAGGAGCAGGAGGATTTTGTTACTTCCTGGGTCAGAGTCATCCCAGTCATATAATGTTAGTAAAGTTATTACATTAGCTCCATTAGCCAGTGTATCATGTGTTAAATCTATTTTGTTATGTATAAATGTGTATGAAAATATTATTTCAAGTACTTCTGTATATATATAATGTTACTGTGTATGTATATAAACTTGGTTTCGTCGCCATATGGCAGCAATAATGCCGATAGGTTAAATTGTAACTCACTCACTCACTCACACTCAATTCCATCATGATACATGTCCTGGAGCCATCAGCTGTCGTAAGTTTCGTTCGAATGGCATATCTCTGTAAACAGTCACCAGAGCAAATTTACTGATCGGAACAAACGTTATCACTAGTATACGACTCTCATTTCAGCGTGGGAACGTTCTGTAGCATAGGTGTAAAGACACTTAGCCCTTACACAAGCACCCCTTAATCCCACGCTTAGTCCTGATACTTCTGTATCAGGAATATCTGTGAAGATCCAGGTTAAAATATATATATGTAGAGTGAGTGAGTTTAGTTTTACGCCGCACCCAGCAATATTCCAGCTATATGGCGGCGGTCTGTAAATAATCGAGTCTGGACCAGACAATCCAGTGGTCAACAGCATGAGCATGGATCTGCGCAATTGGGAACCGATGACGTGTGTCAACCAAGTCAGCGAGCCTGACCACACGATCCCGTTAGTCACCTCTTACGACAAGCATAGTCGCCTTTTGTGGCAAGCATGGGTTGCTGAAGACCTATTCTACCCCGGATCTTCACGGGTCATATATATATGTAGAAGCTAAACAGTCATATGTATATTTTTTCTTGTTCGTGTAAGTATCTCGAGGCTCGCTTGTACGATGTCGCGTGTAGGTCTTTTCGGAACTTGCGTTCAGCAGATGCATTTTAATCTCATGGGTGAAATTCTTTATTGAAAATTGATCGAGAGTGAGTGAGAAGAGAGTTGGGGGAAGGGTTGTTACTTCATTCTTTTGTCTGACTCATACTTTCAAAACTGTTTAGTTCATATTCCACAGACATTACCTCGCTACTGAAACAGTAAAAACGGCAACGAAAAACTATGAAACTGCAACATTTATTATATCAGCGAACTTCGACCTCTACTGCGCATGCGCATTACGATCTCGGCTTCTTTCCAATTTCCGAGCAACCGTGAATCGCCTGGCGTAGAAGAAGTATTAAATATGTCGAAATAATTGCTGTCAATCGTTTCATACGAATGGAAAGTAAACTAAACAAGTGCGCACACAAGTATGATGATGATAAGTGCCAAATAACACAACAGAAATACTTAAAAAGCAATGTAACTTTTGTCCAAGCTGGAAAATGTCAACATGCGGTCGAGACTTCCTCTTCCATGTGCGCATGCGCAAAATCGAAGTTGCGGGCTCCTCGTTTTATGATGCTGTGTTAGCGATTTAAAGTTGCCGTTTTTACTGTTTCAGTAGCGAGGTATTACATTTATGTTGCTATTTCCACGATTATTGTGGGCTTTTCTGCGTTTTTCTGCCCAGTGGGGAAGTTTTCTTTGGTAGGCCTGATACAGTGGTCTGATGATGTCTGTTAATAATGTGTACGTATATGCCCTCAAGGTGAATTAAAATTGAAAATGACCTAAGTCTTGTTTTGATAAGAACACCGAATCTCTCATTTTTTCAATATCACAACCACGGCTGTGGTGCAGAGAAACAAAAAATAATCGGCAATACGAAACCGGAATACGAAACTGTCTCGGGACCCAACTCCGCACAGGAAATGACACACTCGCTGGTTGCGGCCAGCCTATAGTTGTCCTCACATCTCACAAAGCATACAGACTGCAGCAGTTATGTTACCTCGGAAGATACCACAGGAAGGACACTCGTTTCGTATAATTCGTATGTAATGAGACCTCGTGTAGTATTCTCTATTTATTACCCACGTGGTCAACGTATGGGTAGTTGCATACTAATCTCGTACGTCACACGTGTGTCGTATCGCGTTGACCTGTGTCGTAACGACTTGACCTGAGATTCTAACGATTTGATTGGATAACCGATGACCTCTCAATTAGGTCACATTCTGACGTAACTATTTTTTCATTCATAACAAACACGTGAATTCATTCATTCTACAACTTAAATGCATTGTGGGAATGTAAACATCGCGAACGTTGCCGTGTCGCTGTTTAATTGTGAGTCGAACTGAGACATCATCCAGATAACATAGGAAGGTCACGAGTTTCGTATAATTCGTATGTAATGAGACCGAGTGTTGTATTTTATTTATTACCCACGTCTTACATGCATTTAAATTGACAAAATAGCGTATTTTTGTTATGTTTTTGGTTTCAAACCGAAACCGGTTTCATAAAGAGGTTGCGGAAGAGTTTTGTACTGTAGTACAATATTTGCATGACGTCACACTAATGACGTCACTGCCATGGTAACCGACGTCACGATGCATGTCAGTTGTCATCGCCTCGTACAGCCTCCTACAGTAAAATACTCCGTTGCACCTCGTTTCTTGGTTTCCAGTTGCTTCATTCGGCTAACATCACTGGTGGAAACATTATGTTACGCTAAGTGACCATGGCGCCGGATTGTGGAATCGACAGAGATGGCAGTGAAACATGTTGCCCACTATAGAGGGCTCCGGCCTTTTCCCGATTACCCACAATGCACCACCAGCCGCCATTTTGGTAGGCGGTCTGTGTCAACAAAGGCTCAGTCGTCCTATTGTTATGCAAATATGCCGACTACCTGTGCCGTTGTTAAGTGTCACAACCGGTCGGGTCGCGATAAGGTTAGCTTTTATCGTATCCCAGTTGTCATCAAAGGTCAAGGCGAAGCAACTGAGAGGAAAAGCGAGCGTTGTAGACGACTCTGGCTTGCTGCAATCAACCGGGCGGATGTCGATGAAAAAACATGCAACAAGCTTCGTGTGTGCTCTGATCATTTCATATCAGGTACTTGTTATACACACATTTTTATATATTCAACAGACTTTTTACATATACAGAGTCGTTCAAAAAGTATTCGGACACTTGACGTAATTTCCATAGACTTACATGTTAATTTAGTGCAGCCTAAATGTTTTTCATGAATTTCATTTTCGTAAGATCCAAGTCAAGTTTTGCACATTTGTGAGGAATCATCTTACCTACAATGACATAATTTCTGTTTAATTTTCCGTTGCTTGTTTATCGAATGGCAACAATTTAATCAACATATGTACAGTAGATATATAATAATACCTCAATGAAATGTATATCAACCGTGTCTGTCCTACAAAGAAAGTTTGACATGGTTTTCACTCTGTAAAGTCTGATGTTTTGGTGTTTTGATTTTATGTATACATCGTAGTTACTTGTGAAATTGTCATAAGTTAACAAAGTTTATGTGGTATGCTGTTTGTTTTCAAATTAGGTCTTTAATCTAACATCTATATCAAAACAATTTGAGTCTCATGCGGAGGTAGATAGTCAAGCTGATTTTGTAACATTATTTTCGATTTTGAAACTTTATCACTGCAACAAAATAATATGAGGTAAATGTTAGTGTTTAACATTTACTTATGATATTTCAGGTGCAAGAAACAAATATGATGAAACAAACCCAGACTGGGTTCCCAACAAGAATCTGGGATATGATGTAAAATCTCCAACGAAGTCAGCGATCCGCCACGAGAGGTTACAAAACCGAAAACAGACAATTAAGATGAATGAAGCTGCAATATCTCTTTTGGAACTAAGTGCCTCGGTTTCTGAACCTCCATGTGCAGAGGAAGTTGATGGTGTTGACAGTACAGAAGCAACCGATACTGAGTTAACAGATGCAGAGATGCTTGAATTTGCAAATGAAAGAATTTCCGAGTTGGAATTTGAGAATGCAAGACTGAAAGAGCAGAATGAGTGTTTGCAGAATATTGTACACAAAATGAAAGCCAATTTACCTGAGGATTTTGAAGATGACAATGATAAAGTGAAATATTACACAGGTTTACCAAGTTTCACAATTCTAATGGCACTGTTCAACCTTCTAGCACCCGATATGCATGAAAATGGAAATAGCTCACTGAACAAATTCCAGAAAATAATTCTGACACTCATGAGACTGCGACTTAATTTACCAATTACAGATCTCAGCTATCGTTTTGGTGTTTCACGAACCACAGTGTCAAAGGTTTTCTTAGATACATTGCACTTGATGCATGATATCATGGGGCCTCTAGTGCGTTGGCCAGACAGGGATGAACTTTACGAGACAATGCCAATGGTTTTTCGAAAACACTTTGGAAAGCAAGTTACCTGCATTATTGATTGCTTTGAAATTTTTATTGATCGCCCCTCAAATCTGACAGCAAGAGCACAAACTTGGTCCAGCTACAAGCACCACAATACTGCCAAATACTTAATTGCAATTACCCCACAAGGGTCTGTGAGTTATATTTCCAAAGGATGGGGTGGAAGAACCAGTGACAAGTTTTTGACTGCCCACTCAAACTTTCTTGACAATCTCAGCCATGGTGATGTTATTCTAGCTGACAGAGGGTTTGACATTAAAGAATTAGTTGCACTTGTTGGCGCTGAAGTGAAATATCCTGCATTCATGAGGAGAAAAAAGCAAATGTGTGGACCAGAGGTAGAAGGAACAAGGAAAATTGCCAATGTTCGCATACATGTTGAAAGGGTTATTGGAACAGTCAGGCAGAAGTTCATGATCCTTGGTGCCACCATTCCAATTGACTATCTCATTTCTAAACCTGAAGAAGAGTATGTAATACTGGACAAGATAGTCACAGTTTGTTGTTCACTAATTTGTGCCCCTCTGTTGTACCATTCGACTAACCATCAAAGGTTTGCTTGCAGAAGCTCGCTTCTGTAACATTGTCACAGGGCTTGATTAATATTTAGTAAAGGAAAAAAGAGAAAAAAACAAAAAAAAAACATGTCTGCAGTTTATCCCAATTAGATAAGAAAACAAATTCTTATTCATGATTGGATAACCCAAGCTGCACTGATGAGCCCTGGGAGGGCGAAACATGTTTGAGTGACAAATTCTGTTAACAGTAAAAACAAACTGAAGAATGAATGAAAGTGGTTTTACAGAGATCCATGTCTACCATTGTAATGTTTGTTTATGCAAATGCATGTTATCATGATAATGTAAGAATAAAAGAATATATTAATGTGCTTTGTACTGTCAGATCTTAATCTGGGCTCGATTTAGTGCTTTGTTCCTTGCACTGATGCAACCTAATATTACTAAGTGCAACATAAGTTATGAGTCTGACTTGCACATGGTGCAAGTACATTTTTGAGAGGTCAATCAACAATAATTCTAACATTATAGGCATTGGTATGTCAGCTCATTATTCTTCTATACTTTGAATAGCTATGGCACTGAAGCATTGCTATTCATAGACACGTCTCGGGTATGACAGCTCTGTGTGGCTATAGTTTCGTAGGTACTACATCACGGATATATGTTATGTGCACCAAACCTCTGACGTTGCAACTGGAATTTGGCTGGTGCAACTGGGTCTTTATCTTAGGTTGCACCTGGTGCAAGTTGGTTAACATCTCTTAAATCAAGCCCTGTTAATCATCCCCTATGCAATAAACATGTTTCGCCTCCCCAAGGCTCATCAGTGCAGCTTGGATTTCTCATCAATAAAGACTGAGAAAACTGCAGACATGTTTTGGTTGTTTTTTTTCCTTGTGTGTGGCAATAACAACTATAAATTTTCTTGAGTATTCACTTCTTTTTTTTCATTTGCGAATCAGTGTCACTGCTACAGTAATATTTTTTGCAAATATAATTCAGTGTCACTACCAAAACATTTTCTTTTCACTGTGAAATCATTGTACAGACACATCATTGATGCTTGCTCGACAATAACTAACGCTTCCCTTGAACACTGGTCAGAAACTGTCTTTCTTGGCAATCAGGACAGAACCAATCACCCTTAGGTTCAATCTTCAACTTCATACATTTGAAGTGAAACCACTCAAAGGGTTTATTTGGACAATCATCTGAGTCACAGGCAATCATCCGCCCCTGTTTTGCACCAGCACAGATACAATACAGTCTAAGGTTTTCATCTGATGTATCCAGTTCAATGTCTTGGGTGGTTTGAGATGAAGGGAGAATTTTTTTCTTTGAGACTGTCTTCTTTGGGCGTGTTGCGTCTTTCTTGGATGTAGACTTTACTGTCGTTCCGGAAGTGGTTGTGGTTGGATTGTTTGACCTGGTGTTCAGTGAAATTTCTTGCAGGGTTTTCTTCTCTGGGGATTTCTTTCCTGATTCCACGTCTGTTCGAGGTGTGCTTGGAGTAGACTTGTTGGCTTCAGCATTTACTGAACCTTCTTGAGAGGAAATTCTTGCACTGTAGTATTTTCCAACAAGTTCTGGTAAGACAACTGTGGAAAACAACCTTGATGACCTCTCAACAATATTCTGCCACAGTTCAGGATTGGGTTCGATCCTCTGAACAAAGATGTCCTCAGTTGTCCACATCACAAAGTCACAATAGTCCACATCACATACATAAATTTGCGTTTGAACTTGGAAATAGTATGGGTGATTCTTCTTTAGTTGTAGGCCAGTGGCAGTCTCTTCAAGACATGAACCTTTCCCTCCTCTCACTTTGTCATCTTTCATGCAGAAAGAACACTTGACTTCCAGACATCCTGTCCCGCAGCAATCACAGTCAACCAGCCCATCTGGTGACGCCCCCAGGTACGGAAACTTAGGGTTGATATGAAGACCACTTGTGTCACATTTAAAATTCTGATGATCAACGGTGATAACCATGTTGTATTTTTGACGAGCTGTCTCCTCATGAGCACATCCCCAAAGTGTAGCAGCACTGGTGAACTTAGTTTCTGTCGGATAACAAATACTTCTCAGAAGACTGGATGAAGGGTCCTCACAGGGGAGTCGAACACGCTGCTTTCATCCTTGAAGCTGTTATGCGACCCGCACGAAAGCGATACCACATAGTTGAATCCGCCTGATCCTTGGTTGCAGATTCAACATTTGCTGCTTCTTCCTCTGATACAGTTACGTTCGACAAAATGTTACTGCAACGGTGTAGGAGGTCTTCTTTTGACATAGTAACACAGCTTGCATCAAAAAGTTCTGTCAACACAAGGGGGTACTGAGTCTGTAGGCTTCTTGGTGTGTACGGCTTACTGTATGTCCTGTTAACAGAGAGACAGACTGGCTCCTCATCCTTGATTGCTTCAAAAAATGTGTTGAGTCTTGACGTGGAGACTTTACTGTGCATCTTCTTGACAGGTGTCCTACCCGGAATCTCTGTATCAACACCTTGTGCTTGACAAATCTTTTTTGTCCAGTTGTTTCTTCAGGGATTTGGACGAAGTGAAATCAATTTTATGCAGTGAGGCATAATCCACAGATGTCCTTGATGTTGGAAGCATCCAGTAAGCTGGGGCTTGGGTGACTGTACTGACTTCCCGCAGTCTTACTGTAGCTTCTAAATAAAACAACACTGAGGCAACATGAGAACAGCTCTCACCAAGTCCGGCTTTACAATTACAGTGAGCCGAGACAATCCTGTTGTCATCACATATCATCCATGGATGTAAGCTTGGATCCGAAAGGGACTGTGAATGCATAACTCTTGCCTTTATAATTTTTCGCGACTTCTGAGCTGTCCTGTACTCGTGTACCGAAACTTCCCTCACCCAACCGCACACAAAACGATCATAAGCCTCTAAACTCCTGTAGTTTTGAAAGTCTTGTATGGTGTAATAAGGACTTGGATTAAAGATAAGATAGTTCACGAGGTCCAGATAGCTCACATTCGGAAACAAAGCATGATCCACGCTCCACTCACGCTTATCGATCTGATAGGGATCCACATCTCCAATGTCCGCTATTTTTTTCCAAATACCTTGCATGTGCCTGCTTATCGAGTGTCTCCTTATAATTCTGCATCGTTGATAATCACGAGTAGTCGAATGAGAGAACAATGATGAGAAATGCAGTGAAATGACTTGCGAGTTCTTCGATAAATATAGTCTCTGAACGAGAGTGAAATAGCGACAACCGTTCTAGTAGCGTGCCTACCAAAATGGCCGACGCTAATGCATTGTGGGTAATTTCTATCGAAAGGACGAAGCACTCTATAGACACAAAGAGCTGTAGGATTGCGCAGTTGTTTATCTTTTACCGTGTCACATAGACCGCAGGCAAGCTGTAGCGCAAATAGGGTTGCGCAACAAAGAGAAAATGGCCCGTCTTCCAATATGCAAGCGAAGCGAGCAAGGTTGGCAACGTACTTCCCTCGCTTAGGTTCGAAAAATATTTTGATATGTAGTTGTGGCAGAGGCTTCCACTACCAGGGTGCCGTTCCACTAACCGACCTTAGCCCAATGCCAATCGTAAACCCCTAAAATCCCAATCTTAGCGTGACGTTACGATCGGCATACCGTTCCACTAACCAATCTTACCTAAGTCAATCGTAAAGTTAAGATTCAAAGTCTAAGTTGCTCATGACCAACTTAGGATAGCTAACATCAATCGTAGAGAAACCAAAATGGTAGCTTTCCTATTCTATGTGAAAAATAAGAGCGAGCATTTCACCGTGAGCGTCCCCTAAAATCCCCCATGAAATGAATTTGTATATTTCTGTGATGTAAACAAACATTGCACTGAAGCCTTACAAATGTCAGGCCAGTCTGACCACTGTCGTCATGGGAACACAACCGAGCGAGTCGGTGTAACACATTTGTACAACAATATTGCAACGTCATGGTTAAGAATAGGGACAGCCGTGAAGTGAACAATGTTCTGAAGCAAAAAGATACAAATATGTTTGATTTCACTGCGCAGATTTGGTGGGGGATTCTAAAGGCAGGCCGCGTGTTATTCAGGCACATATTAAAAGCTCTGACACAATTGACATTTTTAAAGTCCAGACTTAAAACCTGTTCTCAGTTTATTACTTATAATCTTGGCTGTAAATACTCTCGTGTAAATTATCTGTACATGGCGCTTTGAGCATGCCCCAGGATGTGGAATAGGCGCACTATAAATATGCATTTATTATTATTATATTATGCCTGATACCCAGCGTTCACACGCACTTGCACCTGAAACCAAGGTGCTCACTACCCTAATATTTTGCTCTAGCTTTTTTCTCCACATTTACACTTTGTTGGAAAAATACCAATGAAGGCCCGGGTTAGAATATTGAACTTTAATAACCCATGCTTGTCGTAAGAGGCCAGTAACGGGATCGGGTGGTCAGGCTCGCTGACTTGGTTGACACATGTCATCGGTTCCCAACTGCGCAGATCGATGCTCATGCTGTTGATTACTGGATTGTCTGGTCCAGACTCGATTATTTATAGCTAACATGAACGCTCATGTTAGTGAACGCTATGCATCTTAGTTAGATTATTTACAGACCGCCGCCACATAGCTGGACTGTTGCTGAGTGCGGCGTAAATCTAAACTCACTCACTCACTCAGTTGGTTCGTAAACTACTTCCAGTCATTTGCTAGACTATGCAAAGGGAGATAACTCGTGCCTCGCATTCCTCTATCTCTCGCACGAAAGAGTCTCGATCTAAGCTTGGATCGGATCGTAAGATCAAGACCGGCTACAATCGGCCCTAAATCGGTTAGTGGAACGGGTGTAACTTTTAGCTAAGACGATTGTAGACTGCTAAGATTGATCTTAGATAAGATCGGCTAGTGGAACGGCACCCAGGTGGCTAACGAATCGCGACGTGTCTTCCATCGAGGGAGAGGAGGGAGGGAGATTCCATCTCTGCTCGAATTCCAGACTGATGGTCTTCCAGTCCCCTTGAGGGACAGGACATGCAATCACTGTATCCTTGTAGTGGTCT